CCCCCGCCTCCTCCCCACAAAGTTTCACCCCCCTACCCCAGCCCTCCTCCGCCGGCACAACCAGCACTACCGGCTGTGTTGCGCACGGAGCATCCCCCATCCGCTTTGTTTTAGATTGCTTCGTTGCGTATTATCAGCTGCCAGGGCCCGGGGGTGGCCGTGATCGGGGGGAGGGGGCAGAATGTGGAATGAAGAAGCAGGGAGAAAAAGCCCGCCAGCCTCCCTTCCCGCCCAATTATCCTATACAATTCCGGGGCTGTAAGAGGCCGTGCCGTGCAGCCGTGTCCCGCCCTTCACCTGCAGGGCACCAATTGGGGGCTGAGCGCGCAATTGTCTGGCCGCCCGGGCCGCCGCGCCAGACGGACGGAGTCGGGCTCCAAGTTTATTGGCGTTTAATTTTTATTTCTTTCATTTCTCTTAGTCAATTTTTGACGGATCACGAGCAAGCAAAGACGACACCGGGCAAAACAGACCGAGACATGCCATGCTAGATAGAGAAGCTGCATATATAACGACGTACTGGGTGTAACTGTGAATACGCGTGTTGCGGGTTTGCCTACGCTACCCTGTTTCTTCAAAGATACGTAACTTCTGCAGGCATACGTGAATAAGCAGTGATCGCGCTGCCACCGTCTAGAGTGCACTGCATACACTGCAGACGCTGCCAAATATTGAATGAATCCTAATGCATGCCCTGGATGATCAGTGACATTCTGAAGTCTCTCTCTCTCTCTCTCTCTCTCTCTCTCTCTCTCTCTCTCTCTCTCTCTCTCTCACACACACACACACACACACACACACACAGAGCCATTGCAGAGAATAAGCCGCATCGACAGTGCTGCCCGAGTTTGTGACTGACTTGAAAATCCCCAGAAGAGAGAACCGCTTTGTCAATAACAGCTGACAGCGGAGTGGGGGTGGGGGGTGGAAGTGCGGGCGTTCGTTCCTGGTCGCCCGGCCGACGACAAACGTCACATGCCAAAAAGTTGCCAAGTTGTGGGAGCCCGGGCTGCTGGGGCGACGGCGGGTTCGCGGGCTCCGGGCGGGGCGGCCGACGTCGACCCGGAGACGACGAGAGTGATTGAGGATACTTTTTTCGGAGAAGGAAAAGCTTTGGCCGGGTGAACTTTTGCGCCGTGCCACTGCAGTGGCCGGGCAGGGCGACGGGTTACGCACTACACGCCGAGAGCCACCAAGTAGCCGTCAAAATAAAAAATAATCACGGGAGTGAAGTCACGGCTTGGAGCATCAGGCCGCAAAGAACACAAGCCTACCTGCTGTCACTCACGGCGGCGATCACTCGTCACTCGCAACGCCACTGTCGCACATCCTGGCCGCACGACATAGCCACTGGCGACTCACTCCTCGACATGCACGTCACTTCACTCAGTCACTTCGCAGGTAATCCGTTCCAGGTCGCCATGGCGGCCGCCCGGTGGCCGGCACGCATGTCAACGGCACTGCCAGGGCGTGCACGCGGAGGCGGAGGTCCGGCACGGCACGGAGACACGTCGGGGACACGTCTTAGGCACGTCGTAGGCACGTCGTAGACACGCTCGGAGCGTACGGCGGCGGCGAGAGCGGCCAGAGCGGCGCGGCACACACACACACCCTGCCTCCGGCGCGGTCGCGATCCCACTGGCG